CTCGCCGCTTGACGCGGGGGCGGCCAGGACCAGCGCGAGGCGTTGGGGGGCGGAGGTCGGGCATGTCCTCCTACTGGCGGATGTTAGACGAAAACTGAGAAATAGTATAAACAGATTCGCAAATAGTCAAAAATAGTCAAGCAAATAGTTCCCAAACTATGTTTTTACTATTTGGTAATATTCGTCCTGCAGAGGGACATGCCCGATTTGAGCGTTTTCTTATTCGGCGATTCGCCATTGGGCGGAAGGGGTGAGGGAGGGGGGGGGGGGGTATGGCTCCAGACCTCTGCTTAGCGCGACTGATCGCAACAGATCTACTGCGTGGAGGGGGGGGTGCGAGGGCCCGCGCCGATAAGGCAATGAATAGAAAAGCGGTCACACGGCGACACGGGTCACCTCTCGGCTTCGGAGCGGGGCGAGCTGGGCCGGCGGCAGCTCAAGATCGGCCCCCAGACCCCCTCCCGGGATCCAGCCTCGCAGGGCCCCCGAGCTGCGCCCAGCCGTGGCGACGACGCCCCCCCCCCCCTCCCCGAAGGCCAACCGCCGCCGTCTCGGGCGGCCGGCGTCGGAGTGGTGCTGCAGCGGCAACGGGCACAGGGCAGCGGGCAGCGAGCAGCGAGCACGGGCCGGCAGGCAGCGGGCAGCGGGCAGCGAGCAGCGAGCATCAGGTCGGGCATGCGCCCCTGCAGGCGGATTTGAAAGGAAAAACAAATCACAGTCAAAAGATGATCAAGAAAGCTCAAAGAATGAAACTCGTCCCCAGGCTACTTTGATGACTACTTTGGGATACTTCTCCTGCGGAGGGACGAGCCCGACTGAAAGCGAGCAGCGAGCAGCAAGCAGCCGTCACGGGCAGCGGCGGCAGCGGCGGCGGCAGCGAGCACTGCTCTCGACGACCGGGCGCCGACGGGCGGCGGCGGCGCGCAGCGACACCGGCCTCGGGTCGGGCATGTCCTCCTACAGGCGGATTCGGGGCGGAAGGTCGAACCATAGGCAAACCGAATCCCAACAAACAGCCAAAGCATCATCCAAATCGAATGAGTAAAACAACCAACAACAAAAAAAACGTCCCCGGACACACACGATCCTCACATCACCCCCGGAATCAAGAAGGAGAAAAAAGGAGTCAAAGAAAAACAGGCTTGAATCCGCCCCCTGGAGAAGGACGTGCCTGACTGGACACCGGCCAGCGGCACGCGCACACGCGCGCCGCGACGGCGCGGGCGCGACAGCGCGGGAGCGACCGCGGACCGGCCCGCGGCGGCGGGCAGGGTGGTGCGGAGCAGGCACCGAAGGGGGGCGGCGGGCAGCGCCGCGGGAGCAGGGCGGGCGCGGGGGGCGCGGCGTGTCGCGTGCCCAGAGAGACCCAGGCGCCTTGGCAAAAGCAGGGCCGGGCGGGCGTGTTTTGTCTCGCGGGGCTCGGCCTCTGGGGCGCCACAGTTTCTCGCGCGCCTCGACCTCTGGGGGCCCCCGCCGGGCCCCAGAGGCCGTCAGGAGAGCGGCTCGGGAGGAGGAGCCCGCATCTCGGTATCGAGCAGAGACGGCGTGACGACTTGGAGGCGGTAGGTTACGTACTGATGCATCTCCATCGTGGCAGTCTGCCATGGCAGGGGCTGAAGGCCAACTCAAGAAAGGAGAAGTACGAGAAGATCATGGAGAAGAAAAGGTCCACACCGATGCAGGTATTGTGCAAACATTCCCCCGGAGTTCGAGACGTACATCAGCTCCTGCCGTACATCGGGGATGGACAGACCTCCCTTGAGCAAAACGTGGTTTGGTGCAAACTTCCTGAGGCCCAAGCCTGGCGGGCGCAAGCCTGGAACATAACGGCCGCGGCGCCCTCTCGAGAACCGAACACGGACAAAATTCACCAATCGACGTGTCACTGCTGGGGGCTCTGTCCACCCCCGATATAGTACACCGCGCCTCGAGGACCTGCGGAGCGGGTCGAGGCCTCCGGGGGCCCGCGCCGGGGAACCAGGAACCACGACCTCGGAGCTGTGGGGCCGGAGGCTGCCGCACTGTGAAGGGGCCCTGGGACACACAAATAAATACACACAAATAAAAAGATGCCCCATATTTTCCCATACTTTCTGGGTCTTTGTCTTCCCCCCCCCACTTCCCATATTTTCCCATATTCTCTGGGAGTCGCCGATTCATTGTGTCTGTGTGTTTCTTCCCCTCCTGAGCACTGGCCACCGGCACCCGGCGCGGGGCGCGTCGGCTGCCAGCGCCCCCCCAACGGGTGTCGAGCTCGGGTCGCTTCGGATCGGCGCTCGGAATCGAGGTTCGGAGGCGTGGCGCCTACCTCCGGCCCGGGGCGCCCTGGCTCGAGGGCCCCATCTTCCCTCTCTCCTTGGCGTCTCGTCTGGTCCCCCGATCTCACTCTGTGCTTGCGTCCGCTGCTGTTTGTGACCCGTGAGCCAGGGCGCCCGGGAAGGAGAAGAGCGATGCCTCCCGATCCCGATCCGATCCGAAGCGACCCGAGAAATAACAACGGAAGAAAAACAAATGCTCGAACATAGTCAAACATAGGCGGAAAATCGCCTCCTGGCCATAGCTGGCTGTTCTTTAACCCTCCTCCCGCAGAGGGACATGCCCGATATAACACCAACGGACACGTTGGCCATAGACCCGGCGAACCCAACCCTCCCCCATGTGGGCAAGGCTGCCATGCCAGAAAGTTCGGGAGCGGCCAAGAGGCGGGTGACCATGAGGGGGGGGTGCAAATCATGACCGGCGGCATGTGCGCGGCCCAGCGGGGAGGCCAGGGACGTAATGGAATAAGAAGAGGCGGCATGAGATCTGGGGAAATATCATGGCCCCCGCCATGATATCCACCCCCCCCTAGTCATCACCCCCCTCTTTTCCGCCCCCGAGGCCAGTGACCCAGCGAACCCAACCTGATGTTGCATCCTCGGGGCACCTTGTCTGTCCCGTCGCGGCCCTGTCCGCGTCGAATCCGTGTCGAATCCATGTCGGACGCGTCGGATCCGTGTCGAATCCGTGTCGAATCCGCGTCGAATCCACGCCAAATCCGCGTCGAGTCCGCATCGAGCACGCGTCGGGCCCCCAAAAAGACACCAATTTTGGGGACAGGCGAGGTCCCCCGAACATGCAACAGAACCCACCCTCCCCGATGTGGGCAAGGCTGCCATGCCAGAACGGGGCCCCAGAGTGGCAGCCTTCGGCAGAGCTCCGAGGGCTTCCGCCAGGGAGCGGCCGCTTGCGGAGCCACCGAGGCTGGCCGCCGCGAGCCGCTGCCGGCGGGGAGGAGGAGGAGGAGGAGGAGGAGGAGGAGGAGGAGAGAAGGAGGAGGAGGAGGAGAGGAGGAGGGCGGAGAGGAGGAGAGGAGGGGAGGGCGGAGGAGGAGGAGGGAGGGAGGAGGAGGGAGGAGGAGGGCGGAGGAGGAGGAGGAGGAGGAGGAGGAGGAGGAGGTCCTCCCCTGCCCAAGGAGGCACGGGCACCGACCCTGGGCCCGGGGGTCGGCCCGGGCAGGGCTGGTCGGGGGCTGCCAGAAGTGCCCCTGGGCGAAGGTGCCCCCAGGATTCTCGGGGCAGCCCAGACGGCCTCCAAAGCACCCCTCACGAGGCCCAGAGGGCCCCAGGGGCTCCAAAATGGAGCGAAAAGCTGGGGGCACCTTGGGCCAGGGGTACTTCTAGCAACACCCGAGGGCTGGTGGAGTGACCGACAGAAGTGCCCGGGACGATGCCTCCCAGGCGCAGACCCCGCGTGCTCTGGCCTCGTCCGTTGCCTGTTCTGGCGCCTTCGGCCACAGCAGTGAGACTACAGCAGTGAGGCCACAGCACTGACGCTACGCGGGCGGCGTCTTGCGCGGTCCGGCTGGGAGCCGAGGCGAGGATGGCAGGCCTCCGCCTCCTCCTCCCCCTGCTCTTCTCCTCTCTTCCTCCTGTTCCTCCCCCTCCTCCTCCTCTTACCCCTCTTATCCTTACTCCACATTAGTTTTCACTCTTACTAGAACAACGCGCGCGTTTCGCGCGCGCTGAGGTTCTGGGAACACCGAGCAGTTGATCATCTCACAGCTCCACCGAAGTAGTTACCCAAAAATGGTTGGAACATGGGGTGAAAAAGTGTCAACAACATGGGCCGAGCAGAGACGAATTACTGACAAGGACGATTCAAGACTATTCATTGAAAAGAAATGCATATCAATGAAAAGAATGCAATCAACGCAATGGCAACGTACTGCAACACATTGCCATGGAAACAGGGTGCAAGGGCACCGCAACGCAAAGTATTGCAAGCAAAAGTGAACCAAGCAGGCAATGCGGTGAGGTACAATACAAGACAACGCCGAGCGATGTGAGCCAATGCCATGCGAATCACGAGACAGTACACCTGCACATGCGACGCAAAGCAGCGCAGTGCAACACAACGCAAAGGAGTGCATCTAATCGAACCCCAGGAACCCTGGGAACTCAGAGATCCCAGGGAAGGGAAGCCCCAGGAAAGACCAGGGAGCCCATACCCGGGGGTCGCAAGTGCCAACGGGCATCCCTCGGACACAAAAGGAATGCGGAGAGCGGCACGAGCAAGGGGGGGGCCGAGGGAGCAGCGAGGATACAGACGGAAGGACGGACGGAAACAGGAAGGGAGGGAGGAAGGGGTCGCACAGCTTTCCCCCGCCAGTTCCGCACACTGGTCACACGGATCGCGCCCCCCCAGGGAGCGCCACCTCCTGGCCCCGGAGAGAGGCAGGGTTGACGTGAGGAACGTCCCCCCGCCGATGTCGGGGCGCCCCATCAGACGGATCGCCCCTCCCAGTGAGCTCCACTTACACCAGTGGCCCGACCAAAAGAAACCTTCCCCACAACAAATCCAACCCTGAGACCCCAGGATGTCCATTGGTTATTGGTGTTGGTCACGCTTCCCATACCTGCCATAGCACAGCCATCGAAACCCAAGAAACCCAGGGCACCCTGGAGGCAAGCAGGGTGTTTCTTGGCATGGGTCTCCACTGTAGCGCCCCCCGCCGAGGT